GGAAATGGTGCCGGTTTCTGTTCTGCGGAGTTCCTGGAGCCCCCTCCTTCTGGGGCTTTCGGAATTCAAAGCCATGTCAAACGAAATGCAGGTTCACCAGTGCTGTCAGTGTTGGTGGTTTGCAAAGTGGACGCGCCGCTGCGGTGTGATGATGCCTTGCTTGCTGTGGCTCTTTGGTTTTGCAGCTGCTTCACCTCGGTGGGGGAGGCGGAGTGGCGCCGGGAGGGGAAGGAGCAATAGGGGGGGGAGGAGGAGGAGGATGAGGAGGAGGAGCAGGAGGAGGAGAAGGAACAGGAGGAGGAGGACCAGGAGGAACGCGTCATTGTGGCCGCTTGGCCCCTCCCCCATCCAAGTTTCTTGGGTGCCCGCGGCGCTTCTCGGGGAATACCAACACATGATCAAACATAGTAAAACAATCGTCTCCGGACATATGCACACACACATATATACATATATATATATATATATATATATATATATATATATATATACACAAGACTGCAGTGGCGCGTCGCGCCATGCACCTTGGTCCTTGCAGTTTGGTATGCAGGCGGAATGGCAGGAAGGTCAAACCGACAATTTAGCGAAAACTCCTGGTTACCCTTTCTGGCATCGCCGCTATAATAATGTTATTCGTTATCCTTCCTCCACGCTTCTTTTTCCTTATTTTCAAGTGCCCTGCGCATTCTCCCCATCCTCCTCAGCTCTTTTTTGCGGAGGCTCCTCCTTGGAGAGCCTCTAGGGGCCTCACAAAAATTGTTTCAGGCTTTCTTAAGGCCTTCTGGAGACCTCCTGGGCGTATTCTGGGGGCCTCCGGGGGCTTCCTCGGGCCACCCTGCCTTCAACCGCGGTCTCCCTGAACGACCGGGTCACGATTTGGAATGCTTCGGAGGGTGTCTTTGGGCCATCTTGGGCCGCCATGGGGCTCTCTGAGGGCCATCTTCGACCCGTGTTGTGCCGTTTTGGGGCTCTCTTGGGCTGCCTGGAAGCCCGTACGGATGGTTGTGGGGCGATTTTGGAGCCTCCCAGGCGGCTTCGGACGCCCAGAAGACCGCCGTCTTGGAGCGTCGGGAAGCCGAAAAGAGGAGAACCCTAAAATGACCAACAGAAAATCAATGATTTTTGCCTCGGGGGGCCTTCTTGGGAGTGCTCTTGGAGGCCTCTTTGGGGCCGTCCTGGAGGCCTCTTGGGCCATCTTGAGGTCACGTCGGTCACTCTTGGAGCGCTCTTGTGCGTCTTGGGGGTCTCTGGGACGTCTCCGATGACCCCCCTGATTGCCCTAGGTGTGCTGGGAAGGCTGGGCAAAACGCCATGTGAGGCCCGGTGGCCGCTTGGAGGCCCGTCTGGAATGTCCCAAAGCCCCAGATCCCGGGAGTCAGGTTTTGGGGGGGGGGGGGTGATGGGTTTTCCCCCCGACCGGGCTTATAAGAATATAGGAAGAGGAACATATAGATGTGCAACAAAAGATAAAGAGATAAAATATCAATACAAAACAACTATTTTGGACTATTCCTCCTGTAGAGGGACACGCCCTATTTTTGACCATTTTGGGGTACTTTGTGATTTTTCATCCGAAATCCCCTTGTAGGGGGACACGCCCGACCTAAATCTAGGCCCATTTGGGTCTTTCCCAGCTGGCATCGGTGGAGCTCGCGTGGGGGAGGCTCAGTGGCGCGCGTCCAATAGTCCCTGCAAGTGCATGGCTGCTGGTGCTGATCGCGGGGCCAGCGACGCAGTCTGGCGACGAGCGTGCAAGGCCGATTCTGGCACGTGTCACAAACGAGTTTTGGCCTCCGTCTTCTGGGATCTTCGGAAGTACAAGGTGCAAATCCCTCAATTTTGTTTTATGAAGTGCAAACAGCGCCGTTTCCCTTTGAGGATTGCCCGTGTTGCGAATCGCTCTTATGCTTCTGCGAGGTTCATCGTTTTGGGGGGTTTCGTTGACGGCCCTTTCTTCGTGCAGAAGGGCACCGTCGCGGGATGCTTCTTCGCCGCCAGTCTGATGCGTGTGTTTGCTATGGGAAATTTTGGCGCGATCCCCCTTGGGCCAGGCCTTGACTTCGCCGCCCATGTTGACGACCTTGGGCTCAGCTGTGCTGGGACTGGTAAGGTGGTCACCAGTGGGCTTCTTGCTGGAGCGCGGGCTCTGCGCGTTGCTGTCGCGGACTCGTTGGGATTTCACGTGGCCATGGGCCAGGTCAGGGTGGTTTCTAGTTGAAAATTTGTCGCGGGTCCGCCCCTTTCGGAGCTGGGGCCTCTTGTGGGGCCTGAGGGGCGGGCGCGGTGAATGTGGGGGCGGGTTTCATGGCGGGTCGTTCTTTAGGCTCCCGGGAGAGGCCGCTGTGTTAATCCTAAGTCCAGGATTGCCCCCGCTCTCAGAAAAACCCGCGCCTTCGGAGACATGATGATGCGTCAATGTTTTTGCTGCGGACCCTCTTGCGAGCGGGGTTTATGGCTCTGACGTCTTCGGGTTGTCCGACGAGGGGCTCCTTGATGTCGGACGTACCAGTGTTGCTCGCATGATGCTTCAGTCTCGTGGCAGCCCCTGTCATTGCTGTGTCCCCCTCTGGAAGGAGGCCCTACTTGGAGAGCCAGCGCTGCGCCCCTCGTTCGTTGGGCCAAGGAGGTTTGGCTCAGTCACGCCAAAGCTCCTTCTTGGCGTCTCAGTTGGTCCGAGCTGAGAGGAGGTTGGCGCGGCGTCTTTTCCAGGGATGTTTGGTCATTGGCTCAGATCATGGGCCGATCTCTGCGCTCGGGATGCCATTGTTTCGTCTGGCGTGGGCCATGCCTGAGTTTGCCGCCGTTCTCGGCGATTTCGGCCGCGCCATCCCCCTCGCCCTTTCCGCCCCGAAGCTCCTTGAGCTGTGCTGCCAGGCTATTGTCTGGACGAGTCTGGTGAGGGAATCTGAGGATAAGTACGGGTCGGGTTATGGGTTCTGTTGAGATATGGTAAAGTCATTGTTAGCCTCTCGCGAAGACTGGACCCGTGCCCTGGCCACGGACTAATTTTGGACAGCGGGGGGCGCAGCATATGTGGGCTGCCTGATTTCGGACAGGCGCGTGGTGTCTGGCGCTGCCAGGGGCGCGATCTCCCACCGTCTGTTTGAGTTTCTGTGCTTTGAGGACGTGGGAGACCAGCAATTCCCGTGTGGGTTCAGGAAGCCGTTTTGAACGTGGATGGTCCTCACTATGAAACGGAACTGTTCGTGCTCGCCATTTTCAGCCACCCTGTTTCCTATGCTTCTCGGCTTCTCTGTGAGGGAAGCGTAGTGCTAGATTGGCATGTGGATCAGCTTCCTGCGCCTGGGAACGCGGAGTCAGATGCCCCCGTGGTGCCCGGGGGCCGGGAGACGGCTGGCAAACTCGTGGCTGCTAAAACGGAGCTCCAGGAAATCCAGGAAGCAGCCCGTTGACTATCTAGCGAGCTGAGCTCGATTCCGATAATTCGTTTGTTTTTTTTCTCCCTTTCGGGAAGACCGTCTTGGCAGCCACGGATTTGCCGGCCCTCGCCCGGCTTCCAGGCTTCGGGGGGCGCACTTCTCCGGGCGGCTCCTGCGCGAGGGGCGCGACAAGGGAGCTTAGTCGAGCGGGGTGGGCTGTGTGCTTGGTCTCCGAGGGTCGGGGGCAGCTTGGCTCTCGCTCGAGGGGCCTCCCTGGGCTCCCAAACCTCCTCCTCCCCTCCCTCCTCCCTCCCTCCCTCCTCCCTCCCTCCCTCCCTCCCTCCCTCCCTCCCCCTCCCTCCCTTCCCTCCCTCCCCTCCCTCCCTCCCTCCCTCCCTCCCTCCCTCCCCCCTCCTCCTCCTCCCTCCTCCTCTCCTCCTCTCCTCCTCCTCCTCCTCCTCCTCCTCCTCCTCCTCCTCCTCCTCCTCCTCCTCCGCCTCCCCCCCGCAGGGCTCAGAATTTTGGATTCTTGCTTGTGCTGGCCTGTGCGCTGGGGACCCTGCTCGCGGTTACTCGGACTGTTTCAACGTTTTGTTGCGTCGGGGCCTTGAGGTCAGGTCCTTCAAGTTCGGCGACGTTTTGGCAAATTCAGCAACTCTCTGTAGGCGGTCGATGCTCATGAGGACACTCGTGATGCCTCAAACCGTGCGGAGGAAGGGTTTCGCCGTCGCGGAAATTGCCATGCTGGTCTTGCGGCCAAGGAGGGAGCTGGCTTCCATCCAGGATTGCCGCTCCAAGAGGCTGAGAAGCTGGACTCGACTGGCGTATCAAAGTGGCACGCGCTGCGTGCTGTCCTTTGGGCGGGAGCGGAGGTCCTCCCTGTCTGGCCTAAGCTGGCGTGTCGTGGCACCGGGAGGGCCAAGCCGATCCCTCTGGCTCCTGTGCCTCCTGCCGGTGCTGCGGCTGCCTCCCGTCCCCTGCGCCGGTGGCGAAGCGTGAGCGGAGTGTGGAGGTGCAGGGCGTGCCGGCGGGGACCGCTGGCCGACGGCTGCCCCGCCTCCTCTGGTCGCGCCGGCCGGTGCCGTTTAGATTTGGCGGTGCTGCTGAGGTTCGGCCCTCGTGTCATTGCGCGGTATTGTTTGGATCATTCGTTTGCGTTGGTTTGCCTGTGCTATGCATGGGTTCGGGGGTGCTGCTGAGGTTCGGCCCTCATGTCACTGCATCGTATTGTTCGGGTCATTAATTTGTGTTCGCATGCCTGCCTTTTGCATGTTCTAGCTCAGGGGCCCAAGTCAAAGGCCTAGGCTGTGATTGCAAGCCTCCCGCGATCACTGGGAGGAGAAGATGGAAAATCTCTCACCTGGGAAGTACCCTGATAAGAAGGGTGTGGCGGTTGAAGTAAGCCATCACCTTCCCGTGTCTGTGTGATGATTTTAATATTCGGCCGCGTCAGCTGCGCCCCAGTGCTGGCTGCGGACTTTCTTTACCCTTGAGGCATGGGCGTTGTTGCAAACAAACACGGGAGGAGGAGGAGGAGGAGGAGGAGGAGGAGGAGGAGGAGGAGGAGGAGGAGGAGGAGGAGGAGGACAACTCTAACGATTCCGCCCCCCCCTCTGCAAGGTGATCCTCTCCAGGCAGTCGTCCGTAATGGACGTGCTCTGAGGTGCGCGGCCGCGGCCGCGGCTGCGGCTGCGGCAGCAGTTTCACCCAGAGCTGAAGCGTCCGGCGGCTCCCGCTGCGAGGAGGGGCGAGCGGATGCTGAAAGGCTGCTATTTGGGCGGCGCGCCGCAGCCCGAAGCCAGCGTTTTCTCCTCTGCCCCCCTCCTCCCGCTTCTCCTCCCCCTCTTCCTCATCATCCCAGAGGTTGGGGATCCCCTGGGCTGCTTCAGCAGCAGCTGGCGGCGCGACCAGCGGGGTGACGCGAGGGGGGCGGCCTTCTGAGAGGGCAGGGGGGTTGGCTTGTAAGAGGGCAAGTGGCCTTTCAGAAGCCCTTCTGGCTCCCAGGAGGCCTTCTCAGAAGCACCCGGGCGCCTCTGAAGAGGCCCTTGTCTTCTGACTTGTGCGCGCTGCCAGCTGCTGTGCGCGCTGCCAGCTGCTGCTGGAGCTAAAGGATTCCCAAATCGGCACGGTCTCCATTCTGGCCTTCGGTGTCATCCGCGCTGGAAGTTATTCTTTCTTGGTGACTTTTTTCACGGGGTTTTGGAGCCTTTCGGACGATGGCGAGGAGGAAGGGGGAGGAGGAGGGAAGTCTGGCTTCGAGATGCGGCGCTTCACGCGCGCGAGGAGGAAGAGGAGCATGCCCATCCTCTTCCTCCTCCTTCTGCTTCTCCTGCTCCTCGCACTCCGCAGCACTGCTTCATTTCCTCCTCCTTTTCGCCTCCTCTTCACTTCTCCTCCTGCTCCTCCGCCTCCTCTGCCTGCTTGTCCTCCCCTCCTCCTCCTCCTCCTCCTCCTCCTCCTCCTCCTCCCCCTCCTCCTCCTCCTCCTCCTCCTCCTCCCCCTCCTCCTCATCATCATCCTCCTCCTCCTCCTCCTGCTCCTCCTCCTCTTCCTCCTCCTTCTCCTCCTCCTCCTCCTCCTCCTCCCTCTCCTCTTCCTCACCCTCCTCCTGCCTCCTCTTCTTTCTTCTCCAGTTTCTTCCCATCTCACTCACTTCGTGCTGTAACTTCCTTCCTGGTCCGTGCTCTGTGCACTGCCACCTGCTGGCCTGCCCTTGACACGTAGGGCGGATTGGCGATTCCTTGGGGACCAGTGCACTCCTTGGAGCACCCTCGCTTGGCATTTCGTCTGTGTTGATTGGCTCCAATGGACTTGTCACCTGGATTTTGTCTGCTGCACTGTGCACCCCATTCGTACCTGGGTGTGTCCTTCTCTGCTGCACTTCCTGTGCGACGTGCCCGCTTCGGCACCTCCCGAATAAGTGAATAAGTACATGCTCCGAGGGCCCTCTTGCCGCGCGCAGCCTCCTCCCCTGTCATTTCCGGTCTCTCCTGGTCTCCTGGTTCCGCAGTCAGTTTCGCCCGTGCCGCAGCGTCGCGCGCCCGCGACTCGGACACGAGGAGCCGCCGACGAAGAACAGTTCCTGCCCCTTCTCCTGATCCGGCTCCTGGCTCTCCTCCCTCAGTCCTTCTCCTCCCACCCTTCTCTGTCCTTCCGAATCCCAGGCAAGCCCCTGGCAATACTGTACCTTCGGTTCCTGTGCTAGGTAGCGTGCGGTCGCCGCGAGCATTCGGCTCAAGTCGCACTCCCCACGACGACTATGTCCATCGCACCACCTCCCCTGCGGGAGCGGCGCGATGCTTGGGGGGGTAACCCCGGGGGGTGCCGAGAGCGCCAGAGCCGCGGGAGATGAGCACCACTGGCGACCAGGAGGCCCCCCTGACTGGCCTGCAGCTGGAGACGAATTGCTACCTGGTCCAGGGCACCAAGTTCGAGGCGGCTCCGAAGGGAGGGGCGCAGCCAGACGCTCGATTCATTGAACACAGTATAAACATTAATTTTCGGAGGTCTGCGCGGATCTCCGAAAACTTGTGCTTGTGCTATTACGTATGCTGAAATGCAATGCAATGCTTATTATGCATATCGAGTGCAACACGTGGAGGCTCTGGCGCATGAATGCTAGACGTTGCAAAGAGCGTGGCACGTGTTTCAGCTTTTGCATACGAGCGAACCCGGTATCTGAGGTGGACAAGCGGTACAAGATCATCGAGCCGATCAGCCAGGGGGCTTACGGCATCGTCTGTGTTGCCGAGGAGATGCACGGGGATTACCTAATCCATTTTTGCCTCTCTCGTCGTCCTCCCTCTCCTCGTATTTTCCTTGTCGTGATTCTCTTCCTCGCCCTCCTCCTCATGCTCCTCGCTAGTTCTCTGGCCAATGGCATGTGAGCTTCGCTGCCACTTCCAGAGAGAGAGAGAGAGAGAGGGGTCCATGAGATCCGGACGTGGAAATTTGTGGCATCAGGAGGCGCCTGGCCAGTCAACGAGAACACAATCGGATTCGCGCTCCACATGAGGGCAATGGTCGAGCGATGGTCGAGCAGCACAGGAAATCGTGTCACAGCGGGGTCCCGTTTCCCGATCCCCACCTTCCCAGAGGGCCGAGCACACCTGCGGGCCACAGTCTCCAATGACGGACGCCCCAAGCAACTGCGCAAGTTCATGGGATAGGTGTTCGTTTTTTTGGCGGCAGTCGCATCCCGAGCTCATCTGTGAAACGTATCTCGATCACTACATGCGTATGTTCGCTACCACACCGTCCACCGAAACTCTATACGACTGATTGCATTATCGCGTACTTCTGTGTCAAAGAAGTAGTATGTTGTAACATTGCACTTCGAATTTACTCCGACATGCACGATCAGATGCTGCATCATCCTTTTTTATGAAGGACGCCTTAAGTTGGGGACGAAGCTAAGAGGAGGGCGCACCATCACGAGATTCGGGCTGGTTCGGATGTTACATGATCGCGACGACGACGTACTTACGGGCCAGGTGCGTAGAGCATCGCTTAACCTGGGTTCGGCCATTTCTTTGCTCCTTCAGGTTCTGGTTCCCCATGGGAGGGCGCGCGGTCTAATGGGGCCGAGAGGGTTTTTGACTCCAGAGGCCGCACGGTATCTGGCCACAGGCCACGTTTCGCAGGGTCGTCCAGCCGAGGAGCTGCCTTCCTGCCCACCTCCTTTCGTGCCAGATCTCCTCTCACGGGATGGCTTCCCCTATCCAGAAAAGTGTTCCGACCACGAGTCCAGCAGCCGGCGACGAGGAGCCAGGTGCAGCTTGTGCATCGCCCTCTCTGCGAAGTCAGAGATCAGGCGGACGAACGAAAAGAGTTCGACCCTCGGGACCTCGTGACACACCCTCTGCGGCGCGAGCAGGGCGTGGGCCGGTTTCGGGGCGCCAGCAGGACGTGGGCCGGTGTCGGCCACATGAAGAACTAAAGAGGCCGTTCGCCTGGCCAGCCTGGCCCGGGCCTCAATCCCTGGGGCATGGGGCAGGAAGAACCAGCACGCCTGCCTGTGGGCACGCGGTCAGAGCTGTCTGGAAGGTGGGCAGCTCGATTCGCATCCTGCTCGCTCAGCCTCGGTGGCCCGACCAGGCCACCGGTCTCTGAACGTGCTTGTGCAACCTGCCACGTCCTGGAACTGCGTGGTACAGACCCGGCACGACGTGCCAGTCGCCCTTGACTTCAAAGCCGCGTCCTGGCGTCTTGTGGGTGAAAGTGGCCCGATGAGATACCCAGGGCGCGTGCCGTCCGCGTGCGCGATCCACACTTTCAGCAAAGAGTAGAGCCCTCATCTGGTGGAGGTGGAGCGGGGTATCATCAAGGGGTCTCCTTGGTGGTATCTGCGATCTGGTAGCCCAGCTGTTCAACGTGAGCGGCTTGCTTTCGATGAATCTTTAGACGCGCAGCCGACTGAACCATAAGAGCGCTGAATGCCTTGGGGGAATTCTGCCTCACGAGCTGGATCCAAGAGAAGAGGGAGGGGCGATGCGATGGAAGATGATGAGGAGGAGGAAGGCGATAGGGACTGTCATGGGACTGTCACGGCTGCACTTGGGAACACTCGTTAGCGGGGCCCTAGCTGAATTCTTGAAATTCTTCACGCTTCGCGTATCCCCACCAGTCCGTAACCCCCTTGGCTCAAGCCGTCTGGTGGGCCTGCCCTCTCCGGGGCAGTCTCCCGCCGCTCAAGGGGGCGCCCAGACGCTGCGCCGGGGGCCCGCGGCCCTGGACCCCCTCCGGCACCGCGCGCGCCAGCCATCGCGAGCGCCTGCCCGCCGCGCAGACGGGCTCAGCGGCCCGAGGTTCAGATCGGATCAGGACCGCTGCCTCATGGATGGTCGGCCTGATAGCTTGCGATCGATCGGCGACAATCCTGTCATCCCTGCGGGGGAAAGAGCCGCATCATCCGATGTCGGCCTCGGGACCACTGGGCCACATGACATTGGACAGACTCGCCCTGGATCTCAGGACACCATCCCGCCGGGGCAACCGTCGCTCTGTTCCCTGGAATGGGAGCGCTTCGGCCGATGCTTCGGGCACGCGAGGACAAATGATCCCCAGCCAATCGGAGGGAGGGGCCGATCCCCTCAGCACTGTGATACACACCGAACGTGCGACCTTCCGTCGCTGCCCTGGACTTGAGATCGACGGATGCGCAGCGGTAGACGGGGTTGATACTTTCAGCCCTCCGTTTCATACTGAAAGCGCGACCTTCCGTCGCCATCCTGGAGGTATTGTCAGACATGAGGCCCTCCCGCCCAGCTACCCTTCCCTTGCCCCCACTATTCCTCTGCCCACGGCTGGACGCCCAATCTCCTTTTCTCCAGGCAGCGCTGGGCGCAGCGGGACCGCCCATGGCGATACTAGGCTCACGGGGGCCGACGGGCCCACTCCTGAAGCAGTTTATTCTCCCACGAACCCCCCTCCTCTCGGACAGTCTCGCGACGAGCTGGGAGTTGCCCTCGGCTCCCCACGCAGAGACCTCGATGGCGTGGATGGGGACTGTATGTGCCCGACACCCCCAGGATGCGCCCCTGAAGGCGAAGTGGGGGGAGACGGGCAGTCACGTCGCCTCGGCCCCGTCACGCATCCTAGGGGCTCTTGCCCTCACTCCGCCGTGCCCCCCTCTCTGGATGCGCCCGCCCCGAGTGAGGCTGCCCCCCGCAACGGTTCGAGCATGGAAGACAGGTCTTCAGGTTGCGGCGCGCACCTCGACCCTGACACCACTCCAGGTCGCCTTCAGGAGCCTGACAGCGGCAGGCGTGGCATTGAAGGAGGGGGTAGTGCGGCCATCCCCACAATTCACACAGAACGTGCGACATTCCGTCGCTACCCTGGAGCGGACCGCGACGGGCAGAGGAACGCCCGCGATGTTCAGCCCAGGGGACGGTGTGTAGGGGTAGAATGCACCAGGGAGCTGACCCCCGTGGGGTATGGTCGTGGCAACGTTGGCAGAGGACAACCCGACGCTGCGACCTTCCGCCGCTCCCCTGGACGCGATGACCTTGGGCACGAAGCCCTCCTGTCTAACCCCGCCGCCTCTCTCACCTCCGCCGCTCCCATGCCCACTGCAGGACGTCCAACTTCCCTCGCTCCAGGCGCTGTCGGGCAGAGTGAAACGACCCCAGGCGTTGCCGGGGCTACGGGGGGGGAGGGCCTCGTTTCGGCACAACTCTCCCGCGGATCCTGTCGCGCTTAGGACAACCGACGAGGTGCAGACGAACATCCGCCGCGGTCTTCCCAGGGGACAGGTTGACTCGGATGTCGTGCACAGGGAGCTGATATCCTCAGGGGCGCTCACGAGGGCATATACAACAGGTGCGGGCAAGCCGCTGCCTGCAGCCCCTGCACGCCCCGTCAAGGCTCGCGCCGACCCACCGCCGACCCCCCCCCCCGGGCGTGCCCGCGCTGGGTGAGGCCGTCCCCGCTGGCGAGCTAAGCGGTGGAGCCCCTCCTTCCACCCGTGAAGGGCATCCCGCCGCCGACGCAGCAGTTGACCGCTCCCGTGCACCCGAGAGCGGCAGGCATAATGCTGGAGAAGGGGGGGATGCAGACATCCTTGATATACACCCAAACCGTGCGACCTTCCGTCGCTACCCTGGAGCGGATGGCGGAAGGCTGGATGACGCCCAAGGCTTGCGACCCAGGGACCTACCCCCACGGGGGTTGGACGGGGGTACGGTGGTCATGTGCACCCCGGCGCTGCCGCCTCCAGTCGACCCACTGGAGACGAGAGCGCTAGGCACCACACTCAAGGAGGGGATGAGGCTCTCCCCCCCGCGATACACACAGAACGTGCGACCTTCCGTCGCTGCCCTGGACCTGGCGACGGCACGCAGAGAGAGGCGCACGGCGTTCAACCCAGGGATCGTTGGCAGAGGGAAGACATGACCTGTGACCCTGCCCCCGCAGAGGCGGGACGGGACAGCGTCTTCAGTATGCGCGCTGATACCGCGGCCTCCCGGTGCCTCCCAGGAGCAGGCGACGGGCCTTGCCTCGCGTCTGAGGGAGGGGTGCGAGTCGGGGGTCCCCGGCTCCAGTGATCGCAGGGAGGCGCCCTCCTCCACAGGGATGATCGATCGCCTCTGTCTTGCCATGGGTTTGGCCGTTGGAGGGCCTGGCGGGCCTCCTCGTTCAGCGCCCCCAGGTTTGCTTCCGATCCCGCGGTCGGGGCCGCTCCTCATGTCGATCCGATCGATCGGGCAAGGTCTCCGATCCCAGCGGATGGATCTCCTCGTGCCTTTCCTCCCTCGTCCACCAGCTCTTCCCCCGACTTCTCCCCTCCCGACCTGCCCCCTGGGCTCGAGTTTCTTAACGCTGCGCTCGGTGAATGCCGTCGTGGACCTGGCTACTCGTCACAGGGCAGAGTGCGGGGGCCCCTCCTTTGGACGAACAGCGGCGCGCCCCTCGAGGTCAGCCACGCGGCGCCCAGGGGTCCCGTCCTCACGGACCCCCCCTCCTACCCATCTCCAGATCTCGCCCTGGAAGAGGATCTGCGAATGGAGAACCCGCCCACCCCCTCAGACCTTGACGACCACAGCCAAGCGCTGAGGAGCAGGGGGCAAAGCGCTGCGGACCTCCACGCATGGTGGCTGGACGCCACTGGGCACGCGAATGCTGACTGGGCGGCCAGCCGGGAGGCGGACGGACCCATGTGTGGCCCGCGCGTTGCAGACGCCAGGATCTCTGGCAGGGGGGGCACCATGAGGGCCCTACGCCGGCACCTTGTGCACGCTGAGGGGCCATGGCGCG